CCTAATCTAAACAGTTTAGCTTTGTCAGAAAAATGGTTATGTTCGATCGGCCTACATCTAATTTACTATTACAGCTGTTTCATAATCTCTAAAACACCTGATAAAAAAATCTGCCGAATGATTTTTCAGCCGTTCTGGTTAAGTTATTATTTCGGCATAATAGATTCAATAAAATTACAAATTATACGTATATAACTTTTGCATTACAAAAATTTTGCCTGCATTATTAGACTTTGTGTGCCAGCTCTATAAAAGTTCTGGACAACGTTATTTACATAATAATTATATATTAGAAATTTACGCGCAAATTTCCACCCCTATATATCCCTATATCTCTATATATAAAAGATATGCATTATATATGATACTTTTCTATGATAATTTTAACATAAATGTCGGTACGTTCAATATTACTAAATTTTCGTTTAAATCCTTGCCCAACATGTTTAGTGCTGTAGTGTTTAGTCTGTGCGAAAACATGTATATTTCAAATTACAATGTAATCTATATGTATATAACGTAACATAAATTGTAATTTGTCGTTATGTATTGATCATGTCGAAATCAATTACTTAACCGGATCGGCCAAAAAACCATTCGGCAAATTTTTATCAGGTGTTTCAGAAATTATGAAAACAGCTGTAAAGAAAAAATGATAGAAAATGCTGTTAAAATGGCTCTTGATGAAATCGGCCAAGAATGGGAATGCTAATGGAATGATTTATTGATATATTAGAGATTGTTGTCAATATGAAATTAGAAAAGACACTCTTAGAATAACCGGCTTTACGTCGATTGTCAAATTTTTTTAGAGTTATATTTAGGGCTAAAATAGATCGTAGTATACAGTATAGTAAAATTTGGCAAGGAACATTTTTGCTAAGACATTAAAGTTGGTTTTATAGGTATAATTTTGAGCTATTTTATTTGAAATTTTTGAAAAATTTAAATAGTACAATCTGATTAGCTGGTTGACAATCAATGACAAATAAATTTACCTATTTTATTATTAAATATATTGATAGTTAATTGTAATTAATTTTATAGTTGTAATAATTAGTTATATATTTTAACAATTAATATAAATTATTGGGAAATTCTATTTTGACCCGGCCAAAATGACCCTTAGCAAATTTTAGCATTAGTGCAAGCCAGAATTATGTTGATGCCGGCAAGGGTTTTTAATATAAAAACCCAGCTGGCATTAACATAATTCTGGGAAGAGCCGGGTCAAAATAGAATTTCTCTAAATTACTTATTTTAATTATTAGTTAATTTAATTAGTTTTCGCTTCAGACTTACACCGGTTCCCGGTTCCTAGTCTAATCTAATTTATATTGCAATCTTAACTTTGCTATGAGAACACTGAGTAAGTTACTATTAAATGCTTCTTTATTGAGATTACTTATTAAGTACTTATTATAAATATTTATTAAATATTTAATATAATTATATAATTCTCGCTAAATACTTAGTTTAAATATTTACTGAATATAAGCTGTATTGAAATTAGTTTAATAAGTAATTGTAATAAATATTTAATAAGTACTTAATAAGTACGTACTTGGCAAGTACTTCGTGATGTACATGCGTACACATAGTGTATAAATAGAAATTCTTAAATTTATAATAAATTATGGGTGGTTAAAATTTATAACTTTAATCAGGGTTAAATTCTTTTTTTAAATTATAAAATTTTATTATTGTAAATTATTTTTGTAATAAACAAATCAAAGTTAATATACCAATCACACATTGTAAAAAAACTTTTTTTACTAAAACGCTAAACTACTACAGTATTTGTATACAACATTTAGTAAATATCTAGGTTTTTATAAATAGTATATAAAAAAAAAAACCACAATAAATCTTCTCAATCTAGACTACGTAGAATAACCTACAAAAAAAAAAATAATGTTCACTTTTTATTAATAGCCTATTTAAATGTAAATAGTTATAATAAAATAATAAAATTTGATGTTTTAAATTGCTACTTTTAAAAGAGTCGTTAATTGAGAGCTAAATTAAAAAATATATTAAAACGACTAATGAAAAGATGAACAGATCTTTGCGTGTTTTTAAGAATTGTTGCTTTTTTTTTTTGAAATAATTAATGTTAGTAATTATAATCTTTAAAGTGTTTGATTACAGCTTTCCTTGAAGTATTAATTCTATGCAATTATTAATGTATTCTTTCTTTGAGCTCATATCCATACCAAAGAAATTAGATAAATCATCTCGTACTTGTTTCTTTGTTACTGTCATTAGATTAGCGACAGACAATATATTTCGAATTTCTTGAAGAATTTCATCGTCAGAAGGAAAACCACTGTCTATTATCGAACTGCCGTAATATCCTGCTTCTATAAGACTAGAAGGCCGTGATCCAGAAAGATCATTGTCAGTACGTAGGAGTGTTGATCCTCGATGACTTGCCGAATCTCCGTGACGTGAGCGGGATCGCACATCACCTCCATTATATGGAGAAGCAGATCTATCATCAAGATACGGAGGTGCCGGCGAACGAGAACGACTTTTCATACCACCACGTTCATCATAATCACCACCACCATAAACGGAGCCAGCCTGGGATCCAGGAGCAGACCCTAATTTCTTATTTGATCGATACGAACGGTCCGAAACCCTGGTGTGTGATGAATCATGAGATCCTTGTGTATTAACTTCCCATAGTTCTTGTTCGTAATCAGACCATTTCTTTTTAGGAATAATCTTTGGATCAAATTTTCCTTCGTCAGATACCATCGTTTTCTTGCCTTTTTCTCCAACAATAACACGGGTGTTACCCCATGAGAAATCATCAAAATGCCAGAATGCATAGACTGGTAGGTAGAAAGAGAAAACAGGCATAGCAAGGATATAAACAATCATCCAACCAACATGCTCCCATTTCCTGCGAAGAATAAATATGACTGCTTGTAAACCATATACAGCAGCAAGCAACACTAATGACAAGATAGGTAGAGTTGTTGGATCCCTTATAACTTGAACGATCAGATAACAAAGATATGCAACAGTGGCTGGCATAATAAGGGTTGCGAATAAATCAATCATAACAACAAAACGCATTGAAAAACAACAGAAACCGCAAAGTTGTGGCAAGAATACTAATTCCATGAGATTATGAACAGTGGAGTTAATCCATCGACGACGTTGAGAAATAAGAACAGACCATTGATCTGGAGCTGTAGTTTTACATTGTGCATCTGGAACAAATGTCATCTTGTAATGTGAAAAATGTTTCATCATAAGTGTCGTCAAATAACGATCTTCACCAAGGTGAAGTAAATTTTTCAAGTGTAAAGTATCAACTCTATTCTCAGAATAATCTTCAATAATTTGATTGCTAATTAATAAAGGTTTGTGTGTGTCAGGTGTACGAACCCGATACATACAGAAACAACCGGGTAAACAGGTGACACTACCGAAAAGAGACTCGAATGCTTTAGAGAGATGATGGGATATATAATATTCGTATACTTGAATCATAGTAACCCAAGAGTCTTTTTCATTAGAAAGAGTTGTTTCACCGCAAAGACCCATTACTTTGGTATCATGCATGAATGCAGACACAAGACGATTTAATGAATCTGGCATAACCTCAGTATCAGCGTCCACCATAAGTATGTATTCGTAGAAACTAGGATTTACACCAATAACATTTTTGATTTGATGATACATTTCCAATTCCAAGGGAGTCATCTCAGAGTTAAAATGTACCTTATTAAGGAATTTCATAAGTACCATCTGAGAATCACGTTTACCACGGTTACCAGGTCGAGATCGTTCTGATGGTTTACCGACTTTAACTACCACAAGATAAGGTACAACGTGCCCATTACATTCATATAAACCAGAATAAACTTTTCCCATATTATGTTGTTTAGAACCATCACCAAGAGACAAAAAGCTGAGAGGTTCCGGATCCATATTTGGATCAACACCCAATATATCTAAAACGATACGTGGTGTAGGTCGGTCGTTACCAGCACCAACAATCATACCATCACAGATAATGAATAATAACTTTCGTTTATCATCATATCTTAAAACAGCTAAAGAATCCAGAGTTTTGCGCATTGATTCTTCACTTTCGGTATAACAAGGGACCTGACATACGACAAATTTATCATGTTCTTCAGGTTCTCTTCTAGCTCCTAATTGCAAAGCTGCTAAGAATTTGAATAAGATTACAGCGACCAAAGCTCCAGAAAATGCGAGTAAAATATAATTTGAGAACAGACACTGTGGAGAATTACGATGATCCACTTTTCCAATATAGAATAAATTACGTAAACAAGTTAATTGATCTGATTTTTCGGCCTTACTAAGAGGTAGAGCATCGAATTTTTTACTGATATCTAAACCACTACTAGTAGTGAAAAGACCCACAATCATCGAATTCATAAAATCTTTGTTTACATTATCTGTAACATTTTCACCTCCAGGACCAAGAGCACCACGACCACTCATGACATAAGATGTAAGATCATACACATTATCATAAAGAATGGCAACTTTTTTCTTAGCAGCAGTAGCCATATCTTTTACTGATTGTGGAGGAACACCTTTTTGACCAACTAAATATTGAGCTCTCATTTTCAATAAGATTTCTTCATAATACCAATCAGGTCGATAATCATCAGTAAAGTAACGGAAGTCATGATATTTAGCATTTGGATCCGCATTATTGCCAAGATTATAATCAAAAGTTACCATAGGGTCAACACCACTACAAAGAGCACTAACTTGAACGGGAAATAGTTTTGTTGCATCGGTACCACCATAACTTAATATTGACTTCTGATCAACGAGAGTTGGTATATGACGAGGAGCAAAATTGCTCAAGGAGTAAACTTCACCTCGAATAGATACATAGACATTGTCGGGACTTTTATCAACACTATGTTCACTAACTTCCTCGTCAGTGTAAATATAAACTCTAGGACAAATTAAAAGACCCAAGACAGCGATGACAAAGATAACGGCACAAGATATGAGAAATATAACCATGCAAAGGGCAACCTTTTCACGCCAAGCCATCTGAATGTCTTTACGCTTCATACCACCACACCATTTTAAGAAACATGGAGGGATCCACCAAGTAATTAGCCAAGTGAGAAATACCCATTTTTTACGAGCGGCAGAAGTCTTACGAGGTTCTTCTGGTTCCTCTTCCAAAATTGGTTCTTTTTCAGGCATAGTTCTACTAGCATTAATTCCACCAAACATATTATGCGAAGGAGCATATATTTCCGAACCATGGGAAACGCTTTCACCATATTGACTGTAACTTTCATTATATTCATCAGAATAATTTGAACGATTATCATCACCAGAATAGAAAGATTGTTGATCGAAATTTCTTGGAGGAGAAAGACGACGAGGACCAGCATATAACTCTTGATTTGAAGGGTATGAATCCTGAGACATAGCATCATCTTGACCGTTATCATGCATCGATGAGATGCCTTTTTTATCGGATTTCTTTTTTCGTTTTTCTTCATTATCCAATCTCCTAAGCATATCTTCTAAATGACGCCAAGCTTTTTCACTTAAATAAGTCTAAATAAATTAAAAAAAAATTGGTAAATAAGTTATAAAAGCAATGATTTAAAATAATAACAAAATGCTAATAATAATAATAATAATAATAATAATAGTAATAGTAATAGTAATAGTAATAATAGTAATAGTAATAGTAATAGTAATAATAGTAATAGTAATAATAACGATAATAATAATAGTAATAGTAATAGTAATAGTAATAATAGTAATAGTAATAATAACGATAATAATAATAGTAATAATAGTAATAGTAATAATAACGATAATAATAATAGTAATAATAGTAATAGTAATAATAACGATAATA